GAAACGTCTGCTTTCCTGCTCCTCTGATGCTGCTTGGCCTGCTGTGTTCATCCAGCTCTACACCTTGTTATCTCAGATTCTCCAGCATCTGCAGTTCCTACTATCTCTTGTAGATAGGGCACACTGCTTCTCCTGAGCGTTGGTGGTGGAGGGAATGAATGTTTTTGGATGAGGTGCTAATCAAGTGGGCTGCTTTGTCCTGGATGGTGTCAAACTTCTTGAGTGTTGTTGGGGCTGCACTCATCAGGCAACTGGTGAGTATTCCATCACACTCCTAACTTGTGCCTTGTAGATGGTGGACATGCTTTGGGGAGTCAGGAGGTGAGTTACTGTTACTTGTTCTGTAGCTATTGATAAAAGTACTCTTGCAGTATGCTAAATATATCCATTCTTTTCACAGAGGATGTGTAATGGAGATTTATAAAGAAATAACCTATGTTTCTATTGCAATCCTCATTGTTTATTCAACAGGATCGCCATCTGTTTCACTATGTAGATTATTCTATTATTAAAACTCAACTATTCAATTTATCTCAAAATTATCAAGCACTTTTTGAAATGTTTGCCAGATTTTGTCCATTTCCTTCTCAACTGCAGACTAGCATTAACAATAACACCTTTCTAAATAATAAGTAATTATTTTCTCCTTCCTTCACATGCCAGATGATTTAACTTATATATTTGTATGGTTGCTCTTTGTCCAGTTTTATACAGTCAAGTGCAAACTCCAAATCTGTCCTCTGTCTGGTACCTGACACATTTAAGTCCAATATTTTTAACTTAAAGCCGTTTATTTTCTGTTCTCTATCCGTTTTCCTATTCTACGTGCACCTTACACCAAGATATGCCATTTTCAAAGGACAAGTGAGTCAAACAGGTTTGCAAACTGTTGTCAGTCAGTATTATCAAATGCTGGTGTTCCAACCCTCAGTCTAAGAACAGGAGAGTGGAGGTGAGTTTGTGATTCCTGCATGGTGAAGGTGAAGTTTGGAATGCAAGAGATTTGTTGTAGACACAGAATTTCCAATTGCTACTCAGATTGATATTATTGTTGGGTACAGTACAGCATGTCAGAGCTTGCGAAGAAGGGGTGGCATGGTGGCTCGGTGGCTCAGTGGCTCAGTGGTTAGCACTGCTGCCTCACAGTACCAGGAGCCTAGGTTTAATTCCAGCCTCGGGTGACTGCCTGTGACATTCTCCCCGTGTTCTGTGTGGGTTTCCTCCCAGAGTCCAAAGATGTGCAGGCCAGGTAGGTTGGCTATGCTAAATTGCCCATTTTGTTTAGGGTGGGAAATGCAGGGATAGGTTCGAAGGTGAGTTTGTGAGGGATGCTCTTCGGAGGGTCAGTGTGGATTTATTGGGCTGAATGGCCTGCTTCCACACTGTAGGGATTCTATGATTCCCTAAGTATTTATGATCTCTTTGGAGTGTTGCTGACTGGACCAGCATTTAATGCCTATCCTGATTGCCCTTGAGAAGATGATGGAGCCACCTTCTCGAACCACTGCAATCCATGTGATGTAAGTTCACTCACAGGAAGGAAGTTCCAGGATTTTGATCCAGTGACAGTGAAGGAACATTCACATAGTTCCAGGTTAGGATGGAGTATGGTTTGGAGGGAAAGGTGCAGGCAGAGGTGATTTCTTGCACCTGCTACCCTTGTCCTGTTGTGCTTTTGGACAGTGCTGTCAGAGGAAGCTTGGTTAGTTGTTGCAACCTGATGATCATCAGGAAAATGTAGATATTTTTAATCAACTTGTTCAGATGTTTAAGGTTCTTGCGAATATTTGTAGCTCAGGTTGTGGATGAGGTTGTTGGCTTGCTCACCGAGCTGTCTGGTTACTGTACAGATGTTTCATCACCATGTTAAGTAACTTCATCAGTGCAGCCTCCAATGAAACGATGTTGTTCTACTCTGCTTGGTATTTATAATCCAGTCTGTTAAGTTGAGTTGTGTCATTTCCGGTTCTGTTCTGCGTGGGTTTGTAAATGGGGTCTAATTCCACATGTTTGTTTGTTACATTACAGGTTGAAAACCAGGCCTCTAGGAATTCTACGCGTGTCTGTAGTTGGCTTGAGCTAGAATGATCACATTGTCCCAGTTAAATTGATGGCCTTCATTGTCCAAGTGCACTGAGTTGAGGAAAAGTATATCCTGTCGTTTTGCTGCTAGCCGGTGTTCGTGCATCCTGATGGCTATTTTCCTTCTGGTCTGGCTGATTTAATGTTTGTTGCAATCATTGCAAGGTATTTTGTAAGCTGCATTGGTCCTGCATGTCATGGGTATGGAGTCTTTGGACCTTGTTTGTCATAGTGTGGTGTGGGTTTGTGTCCTGCCATTATTCTTAGGAATCTCAGTTGTTGGGATATCCGTTGTTAGCAAATTGTTGTTGTTAACTTCATCCACAGGTGCCTATTAGATAGACAACGCCAAGAGGACACAGTACGCCCCAATAAACTGGCCATACTAACCTATGTCAGGAACATATCAGAACTGACAATGAGACTCCTACAACCACTAGGAATCATGGTGGCACACAAACCCACAGCCACACTACGACAAACACTCACAAGGTCCAAAGACCCCATACCCATGACATGCAGGACCAACGTAGTTTACAGAATACCTTGCAATGGCTGCAACAAACATTACATCAGCCAGACCAGAAGGAAACTAGCCATCAGGATATATGAACACCAGCTAGCAGCAAAATGACATGATGAACAACCCCTCATCTCAGTGCACTTGGACAATGAATCAATTTAACTGGGACAACGTGACCATCCTAGCTCAAGCCAACCACAGACATGCACAGGAATTCCAAGAGGACAGGTTTTCAACCCATAATGCAATCAACAAACATGTGGAATTAGACGCCACATACAGACTATTGCAGAACAGAACCAGAATCACAATGCAACTTAGCAGACCAGATCAAATAAATACCAAGTGGAGTAGAATAACATCACCTCATCGGAGGCAACACTGATGATGTTACCTAGCATGGTGACGAAACGTCTGTACGATAACCAGCCAGCTCAGCGAGCAAGCCAACAACCCTGTATTATGTCACACCTCTGGAGCAGCCAGGACTTGAACCTGGGACTCCTGATTCGATGGACAGACACTGCCACTGTGCCCTACAGTCTTGTAAGGGAAATGTATGCATGTATAAAATTACAGATACATTTCTTCAATTATTGACCAATGGATAGTGATCCTCTTGATATTCTGAAGGAGAAACCTCTGAGCAAGGGGTCTAATGAACCTATCTCCAAGCAAAGACTGATCTTATGACTGTATTCTGTGTCTGGCCTGGTAGAGAGACTGAAATTATGATATCCAGTACTCATGAGCTCCATTAGTTGTTGAATATTTTTCTGACATGTTCAACAGCTAATTTATATGGGCTAGAAT